CCTTTAGTAAGTTTGCATCACAATCACAGATTTAAACATAAGCAAGAAAACAAGAATATAGTCATTGCTCAGCAAAAAATAACATATTTAGCCATTCTCCAGTATCTTTTGCAGTTTTTCTATTTTATATTAAGTCCTTGCGAAAGGATACATATTTTTTAAGGGATGTATACTAAAGTATCTACTGAGCCACATAGGGAAAATAGGTACAGAATTTCAAAAGAACATTAAAGAAGATTATCCTTTAATAACTTGGCTTTAATAAGTTACTGTCATTAGAGCTCCATGAAACTTTCATTAACTAGCTCCACATGGAAAATATTTGTTCCAACATTGTGCAATCTCCCTTCTTTCTGGTTTAAGTAGGAAGAGTTACTATGTTATTAATAATTTACTAATCAATTTGTATGGCCATCCAACTCACAATTGTGACTCTCAGCAGCTAACATCAGCTGAAAAACACATAAACAAAAGGCAATAAAATACATTTTAAAAAGGACATCTATTGTTAAGCACAACCAGTCTGAACTCAACAGGCTTGTCTAACATCCTAGTCCAATGTCTCAAAGAAGAGCCCCTCAAGCTAACCACACTACTTCATTCTGGACCAGTTGTTGCTTCCAGGTGGTCTTCAAGGATACTTATGTATAGTTTGCATTGTAGTAGTCCAAACAGGAGGTGATCACGTTTGAGGGATTGTGAACAGAGCTTCCCAATTCAGGAGCTGGTGCAATTAGTGCATAACTTAGGTTTGTTCAAAGACTTTCCTAGTCTTAGCAACCATTTGCTGTTCAAATAGGTGCTGTGAATCCAAGAAGATCCCAAATGTGTACCAATTCTGTTTAGGAAAACACTATCCCATTAAAAAAAAAAAGGTTGGAAAGTCCTCAAATCTCAGGGGCCCTAAAACCCACAATCACTTGGTTTTGAAATCTGTTCTTCCTCCAGACCATCACAGCCTTCAACACTGGGGAAAAATCTAAGTGGAGTCATTCGGTTGGCCAGGGATAAAGATGTGCAACTGAGTATCATCAGCATATTGATGTTGCTTAATCCTTTACCAATGAACCACCTCATCTAGAGACTTCATATAAATGTGAAATAAAAGTGGGGAGAGAGTTGAGCTCTAAGGAACCTCACAAAGCAAAGGCCTAAAACTAGACCTCTCTCCCTACCAATATGATTGGAATCAACCCCAAAGGGAGGAGGAAAACTACTGTAACACCATTTCCCCCCCCCCATTCTAATATCCTATGCTGATCCAGAAGGATACCATGATTAACAACACTTATTTTATTTCCTTCCTTCCTTCCCTACCTACCTACCTACCTACCTACTTACTCCGGGTGGCTGTATTGAAGGTTTTTGACAGATGAGAGAGATGGCTGGCCAAAATTATGAACAAATGCAATATAGCAACAAATATTCTAAAGCAAGTCATTTCAGCAATGACTTAGGATGCAGGGGAAAGAAAAGCCCCACTGCATATAGCTCAGAATTTTTTAAAACTTCTGACAAGTTTCTGCTCCAAGAAGCATGTTGCGAAAGATAAAGCTTTATTTCAATACTGTCATAACAGAGTGAATATTCACTGGTTACATGTTTTCCTTATTTATTTATATTCTATTTGTATTAATTGTATAAATAACTCAAGGTGGTGGACCTACATAATACTACTTTCTCCTCCTCCTGTTTTTCTGACAACCATCCTGTGAGGTGGGTGGGGCTGAAAGAAAGTGACTGGCCCAATGTCTCATCCAGCTGGCTCTCCGGCCTAAGGCGGACTAGAACTCCCAGTCTTCTGCTTTCTGGACTGGTGCCTTAACTACTAGACCAAACTGGCTATGTGCTAAACCTATTGAACCATGGAATCAAATAGGCCAAGTCTTGATTTCCCTTCGTGAAAATATTTACCCTTTGATTGCACAGTTTCATCTTATACATAGTTATCCAGATGTTCCTTGCATAAATATTTGTAACCTCAGTGAGTATAATCTTGAGATCTATGCATATATTGGGTGTGAATATATCATATAATTTTTGTATAATTGTATCATTTCAGATTTCCCTCAGTTTCAGAATTTTAGAAATGAAGTAGAAAAAAAACTAAATGGCAGTTCTATATCTCAACTTTGAAAGGCATTTATATTTTTTAAAAAGTATGACAGTATGAAGTGTTTTATGGATATTGTATACTGTATATAAAGTATATAATAGAACATAAAGACTTGGTTTTTCCTTTACAATGATTAACAGATCAGTGCTACCTAGAAAGTAAGCTAATCCTGCTATAAATTGTCCAAATATATATAAAAACTAATTTCTAAATACATTCTAGCATAAACAAGACATTTAAATATAAACAGAGAAAGAAATTGGAATCTGCAATAAAAATAATTTGATTGTTTAAAAACACACTCCTGTAGAATGAGAACAAAAGAGGGTGTTGAAAATAAAGGAATTACCTCCAGAATAAGAGGCTACTTGATTTAGAAGGCCATAAGTTAAGATTCGGATGGCACGGTTATTTATGGTATGACAAGGTTAAAGTAAATGTTGACTTTAACAATCATTTTGTTAGATGTGCCATTCTAAGAGTCTGGAACAAATATAAAATAAGGTATTGATGTCCCCCCAAGAAGCTTTTTTTAGAAAAGAAATGGTGACGAAGCTGGACTGGTGAACTTATAGTAAAATAATAACTTTTAACTTTGGTGATTCTATTCTCAAATCTAAGGAGGAGCTAGAATCAGAAGGACATGTCTGCCACTAGTTTACATATTTACAACTGAAAGAAAGATTTAAACTAGACAAAAAGAGCTATGAGTTTGACTCTGTTAAAAATGAATTGGAAACCCCATTGTGTGGTAGTGGTGAACATATTGCTAGGGTCTACAAAACGTTATTGAGTTTGATTTGGAAAGTGAATATGTAAAACATTGTATGATTCAGTGGGCAAGGAATTGTGGATGTAATATAAAGCTTGAACAATGGGAGAATATGTGGACGAAAGCTTTAAAATTACAATTTAAAAGGATTTTTTTATAAATGATGTATTAACAACAGATAAGCTATCAAGGTATAAAGGTGTTTCAAATGAATGCTGGAAATGCAAATGCAAAGAAAGGATTTTTTATCATTTATGGTAGATGTGTGATAAAGCAAAGAAATACTGGAGTAGGATTCATATTCTAATACAGAAGATTCTCAAAGTGAATATAAAACTAGAAACTTTCTCTTGGGTTTAATGGAAAAAGACAGAAATTTGGGGGGGGGAGAACTTTGATGTTATATATGTGGACGGCAGCAAGATTACTCTATACTCAAAAATGAAGGACACTTTAATCCCCACAATAGACAAATGGTTGCAAAAGCTGATGGAGTCAGCCATGGCTAAATTGACTGCTTTGATAAAAGAAAAAAACACAAGTACTTTTGTTTCTACTTGGAAACCGCTTCTGGAATTTGTGCTTGAGATGGAAAAAAATGAAACTTTGATTTTGGGTTTTACTGATTAGATAGGTCTGTTGTTATAGAAATGGCTAGTTTATAATGTTATGTAAAAGTAAAAAATTGAGGTTTGATGTTACTTCTTATTCTACTGCACCAAAGGGAATCGGAAGTCAGTGCCTTTTTTTTCTTTTTCTTTTTCCTTTTTCCTCTCCTACTTTTCCTATTATTTGCTTTTGTATTTTTGTATTTTATATTATAAACTAATTTTTAAAAATGTGGCAAAAAAAAAGAATTACTATGAAGTGCAAAAGGCCCAGCAGATGCTCCTGATGCCTTTGAAGATTATTTTGTAACTTGGAAGGGCTGTTTGCCTATTAAATTTAACCCTTTTTAAAATGCATAAACTGGTGTCTCTTTTCTCCCTGTTTCTCTTCCTTCTTTTTCCTATGACCATTTCTTCTTCATTTTGCTGTTTCTGCCAGGCATGAGGACATGTGTGTGTGTGTGTGTGTGTGCGTGCGTGCGCGCACGTGCACGCATGTGTGTGTAATGTGTAATATTGATTTGTGCATGACAAAGAATAGTTGGAATATATAGGTAAACTTTGATTACTTTTGTAAAAAGAATAATTTATTTTACTGGTAATTAATTTGATTTAATAGCCATTAATTTAGTCAATATTAACTCCTTTTACCCCAGCTCTGCAAAATGCTGGGGAAGCAGGAATTATAGCTGTTGACAGGTATCCATATTTGCACACATAAAATCAAATATGACACTTGCACTCATTTATTGACAAAAAGGATTTTTTAGAATAGGCTTCAGCTGAATTTGTCAACTCCAAGTTGTTAAATTTGGAAGCTAGGCATTGCACAAAGCTTTTTTTTTCAGTGTAGTGATAGCATGCATGTAATTCCTTATATGTAGGGTCCAAGGATTAAAATATGTCAGTCAGTTAACTTTTCGTAATATCTCTACAGCAATGATGGCGAACCTTTTAGAAACTGAGTGCCCCAAAACCGGCCCTCCCCTGCTCCGCCCACCCGCTCCCACCCTGCTCTGCCCTTATTCCGCCCACCCTCAGGGCCATCCATGGCATGCCGCAGATCACCCAGGCGGCCCTGCACGCCATGGTGGCCACGCCCTCCACCCGCACCCAGCAGAATCATCTGCTGCCCAGCTGCCATGTGCTTGGCTGTGCAGCTCTGCACGGGCCGCACTCGGGGGTGACTCTTCTCCGGGGGGACTGCTGGTGAGGACGGGGTTATGGGGGAGGCGGGGTTGGGGCGACAGCATGCGTGCCCACAGAAGGCTCCGAGTGCTGCCTCTGGCACTAGTGCCATAGGTTCGCCACCACTGCTCTACAGTCTTTTAAAATTTGCACTCATTGTAATCTCAATTTCAAGCAGATGGTCAGTTTCTAGAGGCCTGCATTCCCACATGAAGATATCTCTCATTGCCAACAACTGGGATTTATTTTTTTATACATTTATTTTTTATTAATCTAAATTTACCAGAATGTTTATGTTTTATCTTTGATTATCCAGGGCTGGGAGAAGGTTCTGCACTTCACGACAGCAGGACTTCTCAAATATTAGAAAAGAACGCATGGCGAACTTTCAAGGAATCACAGTGCCATCATATGCTGAAACATCTTCACAATGGTGCTCGGATTACTGTACAGATGCCACCCATAATTGAGGGACATTGGGTCTCGACTGGGTAAGTTTATAGGCAGACAAAATGATCATATTGGAAAACACTACAGGCTAAAATACTTTAACTTGCAATCAGTTAAAGGATTTGAGAACGTTACTTTTTTTCTTCCCCTTAATGATAATAGCTCTCTCTCGCTCTCTCTCTCTCTCTCTCTCTCTCTCTCTCTCTCTCTCTCTCTCTCTCCCTCCCTCTCCCTCCTCTCTCTCCCCCTCTTTCCCTCCCCCTCCCATCCCTTCCCTCCCTCTCTCCCTGCCTCCCTCCCTCTCTCTCTCTCCATAAGTATCAAAGTCAGTTCTTATTGTAACGTGGTTGTTGTGATTGGCTGCAGAATTTTGTGACCACAATCTGTTTTAGCCATTTTAAATATTTTCTATTTTCCTTACTTGGAACCTGCAGCATAGCATAAAATTGTTCATATGCTGTTTTCTTGTTGGAACTTAAGTATTATAGGATCTGGTGAATAAATTCATGATTTCATGTTTTGTCTTCTGACATCTGTATAAATTCATTAATAAATTGAAATTACCAAGTTTCAGTTGACAACCCAAGCATGTGTAAATGTTTAATTGACATTATAGATATTCTTTTAGAGTAAGATTTATTTTATAGTTTTCTTTTATGGTATACTCTAAATTATGTGTTTAGAATTACAACTCCTTCAAGCCTAATCCAGCAGTCCTTATTCAGACAAAAGCCACAGTTAAACTTAATAGGACAATTGCTTCAATAAATACCAGTCTTCATTCAAGTCCATAAAAGGTTCTGATAGAAGCTATAGAAGCTCATTTCTTTGGTGAATTATTTCTTATTTATAATTGGCTAACAGGCAAGATGGTTCATTTCATACATCATCTTTTGCATTTATAGTCTGTATACAACTATTTGATACAGGTGTTTGTTTAATATATTAGTGTAACATATGTTACATTATTAATCTAGAATACATTTAAGCTACTGATCTAAAATTTGGAAGATGATTCAGTATTTTGATAGGAATGTGGATGAAGCACCTTTACAGAAATTCCATTAAAATATCTCCATACAGCATACCATAAATTCTTAGTATATAAAAAAGGAGAAAAAAACAAGAAATAAAGAGAAATAAAAGGGTCTTACCAGAAGGGTTAAGAAATCAAAGCAAATATTGTTACATATAGAAACACTAATGTTCAAGTATTCCAATTATCGTTGTCATATATATGAATAGGTTGTTATTTAGAGATGTATTAGTAACTCCCGAACCTGTTTTGACAATAACTACGTTTTATAATTTCATACTTTAACGAAGTGTGTTTTTTTCGTGTTTGACTATAGTTGTGAAGTTAGAGCAGGTCCAGAATTCATCACAAGATCCTACAGATTCTACCATAACAATACATTTAAAGCTTATCAGTTTTACTATGGAAGCAATCGGTGTACCACCCCAATCTATACCTTAGTTATCCGTGGTAAAGTCCGCCTTCGCCAAGCATCCTGGATTATCCGAGGAGGGACCGAAGCGGATTATCAATTGCATAACATTCAGATCATCTGCCACAATGAGGCAGTAGCTGATAAATTAAATCAGTTGGTGAACCGTACCTGTCCTGGATTTGTAGCAGAAGCTAAACCTTGGGAGCAGAATGTGAGCTATGATTTATGGAGAGAAGAGAATGGCTACGAGTGCACAAAGGCACTGAATTTTGCTATGCATGAACTTCAACTGATTCGAGTAGAGAAACAATACTTGCACCATAATTTAGATCACTTAGTAGAAGAACTGTTTCTTGGAGATATCCACACAGATCCTGCTCAAAGGATGTATTATCGCCCATCCAGTTATCAATCTCCACTCCAAAATGCCAAGGTATGTGAACATTTCAGTTGTATTTCCAAGACATGTAAATGAAGTATGTTTTTAAATTACTTAGCCCAAAACTTAAGTCCAGATCCCATGCAGGTTTTGTCTGTTTTCACTTGTATTCCTTATCAGGGTTGCTTATCTTGTCTGTCAGTTATGCCTTCTAGACTTTATTATCCTCACTGTTACATCATCTTATCTGACATTCAAATTGCTATTTTCTGTTTGCTGGCTTATCACCCGTGTTGCCACTTTTTCATGTCTTTCTAATTTGCATCTTGGATGCAGACTTGTAGGATCAAATCTGTTTTATGTTTTTAATGTTTTAATTGGAAAGAATGTTGCAATGTATCTTTTTTTCAATATATTTACAGCAGTGGCATCTAGAGGGGGAAGTGGGGTTCAAAATATTAAAAGCAGTATCATGACATAGGCCCTGAGTCTTTAATAGATGTAGTGCAGTGTAACATACGTGTACAAAAGAGATGGAGCTTGCTGACAGAATGCAATAATATTTGCTTTTGTCATTTTGATGAAAACAGCAAGATCCTGCAGACATTGCTGCTTGGCAGAAATATTTTCCTTGATGGCAAGGAAGCATTGATCCATACTCTCAAAAGTTTCTGCTCTTTAAAATCTGTCTGATAGTTACAAGAGTATACATTGCAAAATTTCCTGAATAACTGAAAAATATACTGTGTGGCCAACCACCTACCTGAAAGGCAATTTCATATTTCATATTTCATTAAAAGTGAGGTACTTTATATGTATAGGAAAGATAAAAGTAGAATAAGGTTATGACAAACTTCTTTTCTATAGATTTTCATAATGATTGCTAAGAAGAAACAGTAAATAATGTATAGTAGTTCGTTGCTTTTCAATATTTTCAAAGGGCATTTCATAAGATTTTTTCAAAGCCTAACTTTTCTTCACCTTTTATGTATTTTATATATTTAATTTGCTTTATAATATTTTCTCCTTGCTCTTTATCCAAAATATATTCAGAATGACTTACACGTGATCAGTAACTGTCTCCTCTCTGACCCCCCTCCTCCCTGTAAGAAAGAAGCAAAGCGGGGGAAGCAACTCAGGCACAATTTATTAAAATGTATTAAACATTAGTCTGCCAGCCAGCATAGCTGATAGTATATTTTCCCTCAAAATTGTAGAAAATATGGAAATTATTAAACGGAAACTCCAGTGCTTTCCTTTTGAAAGGAATTAATGTTATAAAGCAGGAGAATATGGGCAATCCTCCTCAATGGACAGCATTTGTTTATATCGGGTGGGGAATGATGACCCCTTTATGACTTGTGGACTTCAATTCCTGCTAGCTCAGAAATTCTGGGAGTTGAAGTTGAAGTCCACAAGTCATAAAAGGGCCATTGGTTCCCACCTCTGATTTATATAATCTTCAAGCATGTTTGGGTCTCGATCATTTCATTGGAGGGAAATGGCATCCATTTAGAACAGGGGTGAGGAACTATGGCCCTTTTATGACTTGTGGACTTCAACTCCCATGCCTGGCTGAGGAATTCTCGGAATTGAAGTCCACAGGTCATAAAGGGCCATGGTTCCCCACCTCTGATTTAGAAGATCATAAGTCACAATGAAACAAACTCAATTATAGCAGCTAGAATTAAAGGGGCAACTGTTTATAACAGAATGGAATAACACAGATTTAGGATAAGCATATCCTTGTGTGAATCAAAGAATAAAATTCTTGTCTTACAAGTCTTGACTGAAATGTAGCATCCAAGACTGAGAAGAATAAAAAAATAATGAAAGCAATTCCTGAAAATATTTAATAGCATTTTCTCTATTTCACATTTGACCAGCTGCACTTTGCTATCAACTTTTTTCTTTTTGTCTTTCGTTAATACTGTAATAATTATTACAATGCCCACCACATTACAGTGCAGCATCAACAATAGGTTTTGATATTTGCATGAAGTGTGATTATAATTAAAGCCCCAGAAAGGTTCGTGCTAATGAGGAAGATTTTTACTGAAAGAAAAAAAAACATGCCTGAGAAAACAGAAATGGGGGGGGGAGAGAATGATGGCAATCAACAACAGAGACAAAAGCTTAAAATAGAGTTCCTCAAGTTGTGATACATGTGTCCTTCAAAATAACATGAGGATCATTCCAGCATACTGGCAGTTTGGCTTATTGGTCAGGAGGATCAGAAGGACCATGCAGGAGGAATGTACTTTCATACTACAGGTAGGGTAAAGAGGCCTACCAGTTGCCTATTTTGATATCTATTTGAGGAAGAAAGGAACTTGGGAGGAGCTGATAAGAATACAGAGAGTGGTACTGATGGTCATGAGATTAAGATTGTATAGAGTAGTGTTTCTCGACTTTAGAAGTACTAAAATATCTGGACTTCCCAGCTGGATGGGGGATTCTGGGAGTTAAAATCCAGATATATTAAAGTTGCTAACGTTGGGAAACACTGGTATATTTACTTTTGCATTATGGGATAATTTAGTGATATATCATGTGACTCCAATGCAGTGGAACACACAAATGTAAGATTTACTTTTCTTTTGAGTAAGGTGTTACCACAAGCTTCTCTAATATTTATTATGATTATGTCTAATAATCATTATGACACCTTTCCTAGTAATATTTTTTCTTATCTTGGAGTTTTACAGCAGGAAAAACTATTTTATATACATATATAAATACATGCATACATACATACATATATTTTGGAAAGCCTGATGTCCAAAGAAGTCCACTAAGAGTATTAAGGTAGTAACTCAGTATTAAACTATGTGCGATCCTGGAATTGGATGACTGTTTCTTACAGAATGTGCTTCATAAAGAAGATGACAACTGAAGAGTTAACAATATGTTTAAAGAGGCATTTAAATATTTTAGCTGTAGTGAAAACTGAAGCCACAGCCCCTCAATAAGCTATTCACAAAAACATACATAGAATAATGAGAATATATTGTTAAAGTTTCACAGTAGAGCTGTACATCTTTTCTGATGACATCTCAAAGGAATGTACATTGCAATTGTAACCACATTTGAGATCAGAGTTGTCATCAGTTAATTCCAGCAGAATCTTTCAGGGTTACTTCAAGTTTATTCTTTAAACATTTTCGTATCATGAAAATGTGATCATAATTAATTTGGCCTATCCTTTAAAATAAAGTGCGATTGAATGAACCTATAAAATATTTATAACCAAAACATTTTTTTTCTTGGTTGAACTCAGTGGTGGGATTCAAATATGGAAACAACCGGTTCTCTGTGGATGCCGCTTCTGGAAGTCCATTCTGGGCCTGGGCAACAACAAATTAGCTACCGGTTCGGCCGAAGTGGTACAACCTGGCTGAATCCCACCACTGGTTGAACTGTATTAATCCTTCTGAATGTTTTGTAGTATAAATTTGGACAGTGCATATACTTAAGTGAAGCATATGGTATTATTTTAGACTATATAATTTTATTGTATGCAGTGTTACAAATTGTTTTATTTTCATGAATATGCAATAAAAGAACAGAGGAACTGGCTGTCTGGCTCAGATCCAGAGCCCTTTGATGTAATGTTCCATTTCAAGCAAAAGTGCAGATATGACTCTAAAGTCTTTGGGTCAGACTGTGCAATTAAGTGAGGGGGGAGCTTATTGGGTGGCTTTCCCCAACAAAGCATCTTCCAGACATTTAACTACAAGAATGCTTAGCCAGCGTAGCTAATGGGAAAATTGGGAACGCTGTAATAAGACTTAAACAAAAGTAGAACATCTATTTGAAGTAAAATTGCAGTTTGAAGAAAGAATTCATGTGGCTGCAAAGAGCATCTATTACTTTTCCCATGTCCTACTTTTTAAAATATTAAACTTGCCTCCAGGATGTTTTTTACCCCAACAGTTATGAACATAAATCTTTTATGTATATTCTTCTTCTTGGAGGTAATTATTTTGAAAGCATATATGACACTGTTTCATGGAAATGTGTCATATTCCAGTACCTCTTCTTGTAAAAGAAATAAAATAAAATAACCTTTGCAGAAATATTTATCAAGTGAACAACTGTAATTTGATTACTTAGAGGTAAGCATAAAACAAGACTAACATTAAATATAAAATGGCTTGCATAATTATTATCCTTCTGTCTTGAATTTCTTTTTCTCATTACCCACAGCAACACTGATGAAAATCAATTCTAAATACTAGACTATATTTAAAAGTTCTAATCTTAGTTGCTTCTGGAATTGGAAAACAAAGACATTAAATCAACTACTTACATCAGATTTTTGGCCATCAAACACAAAAGCAAGAAAACTCTCTGAAGAGAATCAATTGTAGAGAATCTGTCTAGTAAAGCTTGCTTGATAATGTTTTTAAATTTTAAACATAAATATTAGCTTACTTATAATAAAGAAGAGAACTTAGAAAATTTTAAAATTGAGGGATTTCATAGCCCAGTTCCCATAAAGCAGCTGGAAATCGCTCTTGAAATAGGATCAGAACTACCATGGTACAGGGTCTTCACCTCCAACTCAAATGTTCTGTCCAACAAGATGCTATGTTCAATATTTTCAGAATATTGATAGATTGAGGAGAATCAACAGAATTGCTATCTCTGTCTTTTTCCTGACACAGATCATTCCACCGGGTGACCAAAATGATTTCTTTTTGATAGCTAAGTCTGAAACCAGTTTGAAAGGAATCTAGAAATCATTTTTACCCAAGAAAATATGTAACTGATCAGTTACCACCTACACAAACGCCTAGCCTAGCAAGAGGGTATTGACCATTAGAGTATGCAACTGTTTTCGTCCACTGGGTCCAGGTTTTGTTTCTTCAGGAACAGCTTGATCACGGTCTCTTTTAAAGAGGTGGACACCACACTGTCTGAACAAGGCATTTACAACTTCCTGCATCCATCAGTCTTGAGCTAATTTAAATGAACTTTTTGTATTATTCATTTTGTATTATTTTCTGTTGGTTAGTAAATGCAAGGGCCTTGTTAATAAGGGACTTTCTCTAGGGATGCTGATGTTTCTTTCCAAATTGGCAAACGCTTCACTGTTAATACTTTAGATTTATTTAATTTGGGTTGTTCCTGACCTTTTTGGTTCTCTGTTTCCTATATTGGTGACTCCCCACAACCAGCAGCCCAACATAATGGCCAAGTCATCTGTTTTACTTTTAAAAATGGAGAACAAAGTTTGAGGGTCTACATGTATCCCCACTGAAAGGTATACTGATCTCTTGATCTCCCATATCTTCTAAGACATTGATATCCCAATATATATAGAAAGAAAAGAAAGAGAAAGAAAAAAAGAAAGAAAGAAAGAAAGAAAGAAAGAAAGAAAGAAAGAAAGAAAGAAAGAAAGAAAGAAAGAAAGAAAGAAAGAAAGAAAGAAAGAAAGAAAGAAAGAAAACTGGCAGCCTGAACATCTTCCTTTCTGCCATTTAATTAGGACTGAGTAATTGGTTTTCTTCACCAGTAGGTAACATAAGTGGTAGAGAAAGACTTCAGGGCATTCAATCACTACTTTAAACCTGTCCTAATTTACACTTTATGAAGTCAGCAACCCTGAGTGGCTGTGCTTGTAAAACATGATAAAAATAGTCTGTGGGAGCAGCACTTATATCAACATTGTCTCAAGCATGGGAAGGGAGCACATTAATGTGTTGTAAAGAAGAGCCCTAAAGTGTAGGGTGTACTCTATGAAAGTAACTTAGGTCTTTGTCATGTTTGTCTTTGCACAATTTGCTCAGCAATTTGAAACAGACAAGGAATTAGTAACCAGTTCAGCTACTTCAGTATAGGACTAATACAGCACTTTTACAAAATGCCACATCATCCATCCTATTGCTTTCTGGACCAGTTGAGTTTCTGGACCCTGTTCAAATGAGTAAACTGCAGTAATCCAATATTAAACATTGGCTATGGATTATCAGCTCAAGTTAATAAAAATGCCATTTATATAACACAATTGCTAAGTATCAGTGACAAATTTAGATGGAACACCAGGCAGAAAACTTGATTCTTAGGGGAAAGAGTCAGGGGCATCTTCCCAATTTCAAAATTCGCCTCCCAGAATCAGCAACAGCAGGCCTTGCCTCATCTGAATTCAGCTTCAGCTTTTTCTCCAACATTCAGGTCCCTTGTAGCCTAACGATATAATAGAACATAGGAGATAAGATTTGGTGGAGCCCACAGACTGAGTCCCAAAGGGCCGAGCAAGAGTGTTTTAGAGAGAGAGAGAGATGCAAAATACATTGTTCAGGACAAAGCAACTGAAGTAAATCAAATGTTGCCTTTCAGTTTTCTCATTTGAAACATTTATTATTTTATATTAGGTATGGAAATTTGTATTAACAAACATACCTGGTATGTTTACTATTAAATAACTAAGTGGATAAGATAGATCATTTGCCATAGAACTCTAGAGATGTTATTGTTTTCAGGTAGTGATTGGGTAAACGAGATTACACTGAATAAGGTGATTACAAAGCAAATTGGCAAATAAGCAAATAAATAAAGATGATGACAAGAAAATCTCCTGATAAACTATTGTAACCGCATAGATCAAAATCTTGTAATTCACTAATATATTGTTTCAGGTGACAGTATATTTTTAATCTCGCAAATTAGTTGTGCTTAAAGCTGTGCTGTAGTCTGTAATAGTACGTTAGCATTTCAAACTATCAAAATATACTGAAGATCTAAGGGAATGTTTTTTTAAAAAATACCCTGCTCAAAATTAAGTGAATCTACCCCCAAAATAATTCTATAATGGAGTATTGGCTACTCCCAAATGTCTCATAAAGCTAAAGGTTATCATTTGTATTATATAAAATACAAAATATAGAGTAATTCTGACCTGGCATGTCCTTTTTCTTCAATTTTATAACTCAACGTTTTATGAGCTTCAAGGTTCACAACTAAGTACTTATTTTAAAGCAAATCAAAGTTAGCTCAAATTAAAACCATTCTCTTACCTGTTTGTAACTCTTTAGCTTTTTAACTAAAATACAAATCAATTCCTAGTCAACAAACTGGAACTGGCATAGCTTGACATAGGTTATTGGATAAAAGCTGATATACATCAGAGCATCTGGACATTTTTATTGAAGCATGCTGAGATATAGAGAAAAGGACAGGAAAAATAATTCCTGAAACATTTTTAGTCTCACTGAATCTGAGCAAGGCATTTATTATTATTAACCAGGATAATATTGTCTAAAATAGAAAAGCTATCATAAACATATTCAGAAAAAGTTATGAAAAAAGCAAATTACATGTATATTTTTTATTTAAAGTGCTGGTCTCACAATAGATATTAAAAAAAATGGTTAAATTCTGCAATTCTTGAACTGCATTTTAATTTCACTGTTTCATCATTAAAGGAGAAAGTATAAGCATAGAGTGAAAGGGGATAGGAATAAAAAAGTTTACTTTTGTTCCAACTACTTAAAACTAAATTGCATTTCTTAAGCCTTTATTTTTTTGAAAATGATTCATAGACCATATTATAATTTCAGATTGTGTACATCAGAGCTACAAAATACAGTAATTCTCCCTTTTTTCCTGCCAAAATATTAATTCCTTATTTTGTTTCTGATGCATATTTTCATTTAGTAGTTTATTCATCTTTTTGAAATTAGTAGGCTGATAAGAATGTATGCTATAAAGAAGTGGCTTTGAATAAGATTTGGGATTTAACATAGTATTTCATTTTATAATCTATTAATCTATATTAAATACAGGAAACTAATACTTTGCATTTGGGATAATTAAATATAGAAAAAGGAAGATCATTCTCCATATGTAAAATGCTATATTTTTCATCTGTGAAATAGGAAAATGCAGATGAATAAAACAGGATTAATGACTTATAATTAAGAGTAAGAACTATATAAAGTATTAATCAAGTGAAAATTTTTGATTTTTGTACTAGAATATAAATTTTGCTTACTAAGACTTTTTAGATTTCAGATTCTCATGCTTTTTCCAGATTCCATATACTTAATATAGCAATACATTCAGTTTCAAATGCAGAATCTAGGCGGTTTCACGTAAATCAAATTGATTGCCTAAAATAGGTTTGGGGTTTTTTTCTTTTTCTTTTTAGAATGGATTCTTGACCTTTATCCTCACATTTCAGTAAAGGGAACAAAATTACAGAGTAGCATTTTTAATAGCCATTGGAGAATAAACAATGTTAATTTACATTTTAAAAAATCCATTAAATTAAAGTTATCAATTATAGCCTGTTGTTTTTTTAAGGTTGACTTAGAAAAGGCACAGAAAAGTAATAAGATTGGGAGAGAATTTAGCAGTTCTTTAAACAAACAGAGTATTTTCTTGAATTGAGGTACAGTATTTTGGCAAGGGAAAAAAAACCTCATTTTTGCTCAGGCTCATTTCCCGAACCCTATGCAATTTTACATGTATCAAGGAATTAGGATTACTTAACTTTGTTCTATAGAGATGGACCACCATAAGGAAGAAAATACATCTCTTGCATAGTTGTAAGAAAGATCAGAATGTTTATTTTCACCACTGTTAAATAACATACTAAGGCTTGTGAATGCTCAAAGGGATTTTTTTTTATAAAAAAAAGTCTAAAAATTTATTTCCAGCATGAAATAGTTTTCAAGCACCCTGATCTCTTAAGCAGGCAAGCTAGTTTTGTCTCATTTTTGATTCTAGCTACATTTAAGCACATGACCCATATGATAGGCAAAGGTTATGAGCATTACAAAATGAATTGTATTACTAATTTTTATTTTTTTTCCGCAGAACCACGACCATTCGTGCATAGCTTGTAGGATCATTTATCGATCAGATGAACACCATCCTCCAATTTTGCCTCCAAAGGCTGATTTGACTATTGGATTACATGGGGAATGGGTGAGCCAGCGCTGTGAAGTACGTCCTGAAGTGCTCTTTCTTACTAGACACTTCGTTTTCCACGACAACAATAACACCTGGGAAGGTCACTACTATCATTACTCTGATCCAATCTGCAAGCATCCAACCTTCACTATTTATGCAAAAGGCCGTTATAGCAGGGGTGTACATTCATCCAAAGTGATGGGAGGGACAGAATTTGTCTTTAAAGGTAAGATTCTGTTCTCTTCAGATTCTTTCATTCTGAGTGAGAGGGTGATGTAATAAGGTTTACTGGAAGAGATGGAATGTGAGGCGGGTGTTTCTTCCTTTTGGTTGTGGGCAATAATTTTAAACCTCATGAGGGGCTTCGTACACCAGTGGATTTTTGTTTTTGTTTTGTTTTCTGTCCAAAAATATCAGGAAGTTACACTGCTTCTGTTTGCCCATTTGTATTGTTGTAATGTAATTACAGTCTTGGAAGGGTGTACAAGGTAAGGTAGTTAATCAAGAAAAGTTAAGATATGCATGTTATTAAAGGGAAAAGATAGCAAGGGCTTGTTTATGTTTTAGGTAAGGAGAGAAGTAGGAAGGAAATAGTGGTTTCAGGCAGTTTAGCTGTATTGTGTTTATACCTGCTAAAACTATGTTTCTGTGTTGGCTGGGGAATTCTGGGAATTGTAGTCCACATATTCTAAAGTCGCTAGCTAAAGTTGAGAAACACTGTAGAGTTTTCAAGCAGAATTGTAAGCCCAATATATTTGAAGGGCACTGAATTAGAGAAGGCTGGCATAATAAATAGATCTTTGGAAGCAACTTTCACAATGTAAGTGTAGAGCTCAATATATCCCTTGTTTAGTTTGGTTGAGCAAAGTTTAGCCCCTTGATTTCAGATTGTGTGCAGGTAACTGCCTGTCAGCTCCTTAACCCACACATATCCTTTCCTAGCATTGTGCTGTCATTCTGCAGGGCAGCTACACAATCCTGAGAAAGTCAAATTTGACTTCAGGCGTTTCCAACAGGTGCTGTCTAAAAGCTTAAGCACATACTTGAAAGTCCTCTTCCCTTTGAATCAAAAGTGCTCCCCCACCATATTGGTTGAGATGTTGGCTTTGAGCCAAGCAAACACATTATAACCTAAGTCTACAGAGCTGATTAACAGCCTTTTCTTTTCTTTTTTTAAAATCAGGTGACATGACAAAATTGAAAATGTACCTTTTGCAGGTTAATTATAGAACAGCTTCCCTGGCTAAATGGTCAGTTAACTGGTTGCAAGGGTTGACTGAGATTATTGCCATAAATGTCAAAGTAAAACTAAACTTTTAAAATGAAATTACATGTATATTGGTAATGGCAGGGAAAAATAAAACTTTTGCTGGAAATTGAGTTTTATATATGACATTGACACCAGAATTGAAATGGAACCAATGTCTGTCTGCTTGAGAATTCTTTTGAGGGAGACTATTCAGTTCAGTTGCAAGTCAAAACTAAAATAATTTAAATTACATCTAGTCGTTCTTCTCAGGATCAAAATAACTTGGTTCATATAAAGCAAGTTTGTTTTTCCACAAACTGGTGTTTATAGATTATCTTTCCTCAGGAAATTATGCTAGGTGAAGGCTCAAAAGAGGGTAATATGTTAATGGCCGCCATTTTATCTGAAGCTTAATTCCCATTTGGCGGCTACAGAACACTTTTTAAAGGATATTTAATTGAAGTTTTGCATCATTCAATCTCCACAATATTTCCATAAATATTAGTTTATAAGCTTGACTGGCCAAGAGCATTAAGAAACAAAAAACATTTATCTTCAATTTTCCTACCAAGAAATCAATTTTTCAAATGGAACATTATTTTTAATGGGACGTTATGTGCAAACCCAGAGTTGTGGCAGTTTGTGGAATGCATTTAGAAATGTTTGCATTGTTTAAAAATTAGTAGATCACTTGATCTTAACTGATCCAAAAATAAGTCAAAAATTATAAATATAATGACTTCTAATGAGTAGATATATTCTACACTTAGTACGTATATTTTATGGTCTAATTCTAAAATTGTGAAAGGTATGAATGTTAAATTACATTTCTATTTTAGAAAAAAAATAGGATTACACCATATGAAAACGTTAATGTCTACATACTGATTATTTATAGGTAATGGGGGAAGGAAAATAAATTTACCCCACTTTGCTCTTCTTGCCAGCAAATGAGATAAAATGATAGGATTTCTGCATTTCTAAGACTTTCATATGCACAATTGTTAAAACCAAACTGCAAATTACATTTATCACATTTTTTAAATAAAAGCTTTTTTCCTGCTGGTACTTTGTTGTAATAAAAGAAGCCATAAGGCTTTGTTCCTGATCCAATTTTACAAGAAATAACCTGCATTCTCCTCCTAAGTAGTGTTTGCAATAAATATGCATTAAATGTAATAAAATTTTCACCGTATGAAATCCACACAGAACATACGAATCTCTTATTTTTCAAAATAATAAATTTTACCTGTATTTTTAAGACTTTATTACTATAGTTCAAGCATCAGATCAAAACTAATAGCTCTAGCAATTTCAGGGTTTAATCTCATGAGTACGTTATCCAGAAGTTATTTGTACCTAGGTTAAAGAAAATGAGAAAATTTGGGCAATATTGCTCATGGCTTCAGTCCAAGGTCTCTTTAAGATGAGTTATATTAACACCAAGAACCAGCATGTTACTAGTCTCATCCTTGTTAAAATTGTCAGATGTGGGTAGCTAAATGACATTCTGAGGTACAGGCCCTCTGTTGGGAATTATTGGGAATTGAACTCAAGGACCTTGCAAATGGATGACTACAGTACAATGAAACATCTGTTTCTCTCTCCTCTGAGACCTTAAGGCAGGGGTGTCAAACTGCAGGCCTACAGGCCGGATGCATCATGCCGAAACCACGCCCACCCCATTGCCGGCAATGGAAAAAGTCACAATACGTTGCGACACGTCACATGAACATTGCAAGTTTGACATCCCTGCCTTAAGGGAAGGTGGACTTTATATACTATTCTGATGGCCTGTAAAATATATATTTTGTCCATAAAATGTTCTTATAACATTTTATCCTAAAAACTTACCTATTTCTATATTTCACTCAGTTCCCTCCATTGAAATCAAATGCAACTACCCATGTAAAGGAAAGTTTCAGGTGTCCACTCTACTCAGAGTGGACCTTCACAAAACCTTGGCAGTAATAAGCAACACAATTATGTATTTGTAAACACTATGCATGCTAAAAATCTAAAAAAATGCATTGTTGAAATACTACTTATGAACAAAACCCATTCAAAACTGCCAGCTCATTGCTTTTCTGGTTGCACAATATCCACATATATTGGATGCAAGATGATGACCTCTGGAAACATTTGGATTCAACAGAGCACAGCTACAATAAAGTTATTGAGGGATATCATTTATTATTCACAGACCAGTAGACAACTTTAATACTGCAAAGATAGTTATGCCACTTGTTTGCATCTTAGAAAACTAGAGTACTAATCCAGTACTGTCACAAACAGAAACTAATTCTTTTGAGTGTTTTTAATATTTTTCTGCACAGCACATTTTCTACATATACACTCAGTAGCTACAATGTGAAAATACTTTGAGGGACATAATGAAGATGGAGCTAAAAAGAATGCTATCTTTAGCTGCATGAAATGCATTCTGTCTCCACTGCATCAGTTTTTCAAGAGTTATTCAGGGAAGGGCAATAAAGCACTTTTCTACTTGGTTGGAATTGCCCAGCTGTGGAAGCGCTGCCATCACTCAGATCAGCTGTTTGTTCTTAGTCAAGTCTCTGCATTCATTACAGCAACCCTGACTACAATAATAAAAAGAGGCAGAAACATACAATAATATCCAGACATACAGTAAAGATGGACAGGTGATATTTTAGGTCCCCTCAAAGCATTATTTTAAGGCTATTTCTAAAGACCGAGCATATATTGAGAATATCCATATACTCTGCTTAATTTTAATACTTAAGACCACAAGTAACATATGTGGACTTTGCTTTTATGATATCTTGAAATATTTTCACTCAGTGCATAACAATTCTACAAGATGTGATAGATGGTAACTTAGGCATCTTTAAATATTAGCCACATTGATAGAGGATACATCTGTTAACATATGTTAGTCATGAATTCTAATGGAATCTCTAAGTCTAAAAAGTGCTATCTGAAAATCAATTGTTTAAAAGGAAATAAAAAGAGGAATAGTTGTTTTTTGAAAGGATCTTGCTGAATACCATTGGAAATAGAATGCTGGAGCAGATGGGCAAGTGTTGGAATACCTTTGAAGCAAATTAATCTTAGGCCTGTTACAGTTACATCAATTTTAATGTATAAAAGCACAGTTCAAAGGAAAACCATAATTTAAAAGTAAGGATTTTGATCATGTTCACAGAATAGCATCAAGTCGTGACTGGACCATTGTTATTCTTCAAAACATAATGAGCAGTTTCTTCTCTTTGCAGTGAATCATATGAAAGTTACCCCCATGGATATAGCTACAGCCTCTCTACTGAATGTTTTCAATGGAAATGAGTGTGGAGCAGAAGGATCCTGGCAAGTTGGGGTGCAGCAAGATGTGACTCATACAAATGGATGTATTGCTTTGGGAATCCGTCTGCCTCATACAGAATATGAGATCTTCAAAATGGAGCAGGATACCCGGGGGAAATACTTGCTATATAATGGCCAAAGGCCTAGTGATGGATCCAGCCCAGACAGACCAGAAAAAAGAGCAACCTCCTATCAAATGCCCTTAATTCAGTGTACATCAGCAGCCCCAAGAATAGAAGGAACATTAAAAGAAAACATTCTAGGATGGTATAATAGTGGAGCATCAGCAAGGAATTCCTGTGCATTTGTGCTAGCCACAATAGTGGCTATTTATACTGTGCCACACTTGGACCTTCTCAGCTAGAACATTTTGAAATTTCTCAGATCAGGGCAATATAGGAATTGGGATTCATGAGAATGGCATTTTTAAGACAAAAAAGAATAATTATTTTCTTGATGCACTTGAATGCCCCAAGCTTTTGTTATTTCCTCATGCTTTCCTGTATTTGAATCATGAACAGCACTCATTTCTTTGAGCTTCATCCAATCTGATCTACGGTCTGACATGACTGCACAATAGTAATTGCACTTTAAGACTGCAGTTTCTTTATTTCATGTTAAAAACTGTTACAACTAACCAGAACATATTCTGCAACTTTTCTTCCATCAGCTTTGCTGTTGCAGTCCATTGAATTAAAAAAAAAATCTTCACTGAATTTAATTATCAGGTATTATACCTTTATCGTGCCAATACTAGAAAACTGCATCTTTAAGCTACAGTGTACATATGTATATACAAAAAAATTCAAACCATGGATGTATCTGAATATACTTTTATAGATTTTACATATTAAATGCTTAGAATAAAAAAAACTGACATGAACTTCTCAAAAATTGAAAATGTATAAAGATTTTGTGAAATTCAGTGATACAGAATAACACATGACACTTTTTATATTGTTGCTCAATACATGATGATTTTCTGATTTCCAGTAACGTGATTAAAATTTTAAGGTAAAATGGGGGAGGAAAGATCACAAGACTTCTCATTTAACAGCTAAGGTATTTTTAAAATGATTTTCATGAAAAATGTTGCTATATTCATTGCACGAACCTTGAATCTCATTTTATTAATCTGGGAAATTCATTAAAACGGCTAAGTTCTAATAAATGTCATTCTTTACAAGGGAGCTTTTAAAACAAAGAACATGTAGCAATTTCTTGAAAAATAGTTTATAAGCAACTGGAGTCAAATTGCAAACTTGTATTGGTTGAGCAAAGTAGAGGCATTTTAGATGAAGTGTAACTTCATCTTTATTAGTAATGGGAAAGAATACACTACAAATATGTATCATTGTTCTTTTTCTTTAGAGTCACAGCTCCTTCACCAAATATGACAAGTCCAGAAAACACAGTATTCTACAGATTATGTTGTTTTCTACAGGTGTGCATTTGTGTGTATCTATGCACTCACAAATGCCTACATGGTTGCCATCTACTAGTATGCATGACAACTACTACTGTGCAGAAAAAAATAGTAATGGAACAGAGCATATGGATAAGCTAAACAACCATTATATCACACAATATAAGAAATAGATAAGTCTCTTACATATCTTAAGAGTGTACAGTATATAGATTATGATTTAGCCATTTTATAACTTCCTTAACTTTAGAAGTCTAACTGGAATTAAAAATACAAGAAAAGGGAAACTTATCCTTTGAAATAAAACTTTTAATATGTCATGTCTAAATGAATTTTACAAATTAACATTGTAACTTATAGTTTATTCCCTTTTTAATAAAATGCATTATTGAAAATATTGCAAAGATTTGAATATGAAATTAAGAAAATTGTTACCTATTTTTTTCCAGGAATTATGTCCAAAGCTGAATAGCAATTCTGTTGTTTTTTCTTAATGTTATTTTTGAATCTTTACACCTAGCAATACTGTATATGTAGATAAATTTAAAAGTACAGTAGTACATCATGATCTTTAATATTTCTCAAATGTTTCTAAATACGATTTAAAAATGTTATCACCTACCTATTTCACTTTGGAAGACAAATGTATAATTCTGCAATGACAATTGTATTTAAACCCCATTATTTTTGAGTTTTTAAACTGATAAGGTAGCAAGTTAGTTTTATTTTAACTGTGAGAAATAGAAGTTAAGACTTAATGTGCTTGAACTTCCAGTCAGGACTCTATACCAAGGGTCCCCAACCCCCAGTCCGTGGACCGGTAGCAGGCCGCAGAATGGCAGCAACCAGACCACACAAATAAGAAAGCCCCATCTGCGGGATGCAGGCAGCACACAAAACCACACCCCTCTGGTCAGCGAAAAAACCTCTCTCCATATAATTGGTCCCTGGTGCCCAAAAAGTTGGGGACCTCTGCTCTATACTGTATTCACATACATGTACTTCCCGCATACTATTTGAGGATTTGTGTGCATGTTTATTGACACAATTTCTCTCTCAAAATTTCAGTTTATATACTAAGCTGATTGGCAAAACCGTTCCACTTTTATATTTAATAGGGAGGATCATGAGGATATCACATGTTTTTAAATTGAATCTTGCATAATGCATGCTACTGTTTTATGCTAATAAAGGGACTGAGATCTGAAATTTCCATCTCCTTCTGGTACCTGGGTATGCTTTTGAAATTTACACTAGTGCTGGCTTAAATAATTTCCTTCCGACTGTTTAGGAAAGAAACAAAATATACTAAAATCAAAGGCACATGAAACTATAAGCTTCCATTAAAATGAAACAAAAAACAAAAACCCAGAAATGAGCATTCACAAGATGTATGAAAGCCAGAGACATTCTTAAAAGCAAGCAAATTAGTATCATTTGAAATATTCCACATATTAATTTCTAGAGAGAATTCATTTATACCAAAGGCATTCGTTTAAGTAATGAAATGCAAGTAAAGCTATATTTTCTAGTGTTGACAGGCAAATGGATTTACATGTGTGCAAAAACTATACCTACTGTATTAAAACCAGTTAGTAATCAGCAAACCTTTTGGGATTAGATTGTAAACTGGTTTTATATTTACGTATGTGCCCAGAAATTGTAAGATACACTTTTTTCTAATATTTTATCCCTATTCATTTTCTAAATTTAAAGTGCTTGGGAAACTTGAGCACATGTTAATTATGTTAACTATTTAATTATGTTAATTCTATGTTAATATACTAAATACATGAAACTAATTACTAAAAGAATTAATTCTTCTAACTAGAGCATGTTTTTCTCAACTACAGCTGTCTCTCATTTGTTGCTATCCAGATGTGTTGAGATTGAAACTCCCAGCATTCCCTTAAAAATCAGTTGCCAAACCTCTTAAGGGTGCAAGTCTATGAAAACTGTTTAGTTAGATTGTTTTACAAAAAGTGACATGCTATAGCGAACTAACATTAAATACATTCTAGTACAAATTAACAAATTCACATAGATAAAAGGTTCATATAAAGTAATTCTGGTAGAAATTAGCTTTATCTTATTCACTTAGTTGAAATTATTTATATTCAACTATCTTAACTTTTAAAATAGCAGGGCATGCTCACAAATAACTTGGCATGACATTGCAGCTAACATTCAAAATTTTCTTTTTGCTCTTATGTTTTCTGATGGGAGATATAAAACCATTTAATATTTCTTAACCCACAATTTTTTTGTGTTTTGCAGAAGTTGCAGAGTAAATCTGAGTTTTATAGTCATTAATCTACTACTATGCATACTGGTTATTCTGTAATGCGTAAAAAAAAGCAACATGGTGTAAGCATTTTTTAAGATGAACACAAGATGATTTATGTAAAACAACTATTAGCACATGCCTGTACTAGAAACCAAAGCTACGCAGAAAAATGTTCCAATGCTTCCAACAAGAATTAAAATGTTGCCATCTAGTGGTAGCATTTTGCCTCAAAAGATGGATAGATATCATAGTAGTTATTATATTTATCTATCAATACTAGTCATTTATTTACAAGTCGGGCAGAAAGCCAAACACTGTGATAAAGGTAGAATAAAGTGTGGAATAAATAAATAAAAATGTGGAATAAAATGTGATAAAGTGGGGGGAAATCCTCTGGTCTAGCCAACTATTAGATAAAACTATCACCAACATCTAGATTACGAAGAGAAAGCCATTAAAACAAAACACAAGCTCTGGTCTAAATTTCATTTGGGCATCTGGTTTTCAAAAACATGTTGAAAGCAAACTATTCAATTTATTGTAGAATTCACCTAATCTATTTTAGGACTATAATGCTGCATAAAAAAAAGACTGTGCACAAATTAGGTTTCATCAGAAAATAGGAATTGTTAGAATTATATTCTAGACCCGACACAGTCCTTGAGACACCTATTTTGCCTATTCTGTTCATGTAACTCCTCGGTGTATATATAAAAAAATGTTGCTCAACTCTGCTTAAAAGAGACGTGTCCATAGGCTATGGTCAAGAACGTGTCCATAGGCTATGGTCAAGAATCAGGATGGTGGCCATAATGGTGTGACTGACGCTGTTTTTCTAATGTTTTTATCTTTTACATCTGATTTTTTTATGTGATACACATAAAAAACAGGCAGAGCTTTGCAACCCTGCAGAAATCTCTGTAAAAACAGTTAAAATGAAAATGGCAACAAACTAGAGTTGTGATACAGAATCTTTTTTTTTCTGTATTTAGAGAAAGGCAATGTAAGATTTGGAAAGATTTATGAACACTGAAGATGTTGGAACATATAATGTACAATTCTCTATATTATAATAAAATAAACATTTTTTGTTTTGTTTCTTTCCCCAATAATTTATAGGTCTCATTAGCACTAAGAACACAAAGCAGATGAGAAGAATAGCACTGAAAGCTCAAACCACGTGTCAATCCATTTGTCACTCATCATCCAGTAATCCTTATTTGATCTATTTCTGCTTTTGAGAGTTAGAAACTTGCAGTTTCTCTGAATAAAGGCCAACTTGAGACAGGTGTCTTCTCTTATACAGTAGCTCCAGACCCAAACTAACAGAATAAATCTAATTCTGCAAACTAAGATTTTATCAATTCAAGAAGTTTAATTATGTTTAACAAAGCTCAGTCACAATAATAGAAAAATAAGCAAAACAGAAATCTTCACAAAGATATAACTTTAGCTAATCTCAGATATTACCTATGTAATCTCTATTTTGGTAGCTTCCATGTAAACCACTTTCAGAATGACTAATAAATGGGGGAGCGCCCTCAAGAACATATCTCACCAGCATCCTTTCTAGTTTAGGGAAACAGCTACCATAAAAAGAACAAATACTGAAGATCACAGAGGCAGCAGCTCAAATCTCAGAACATTCTTTCTCAATTATCTAACCACTGTGAACGCCAAAGTTTCTCTGCTGACATTTGGGAAATGGCACAATATTACATACAACTGAAAAAGTGTAGAGATAAGACAAATGACAAAATATATTTAACTTTTCAGAGAAACTTTGTTTCAGCAACTAGATTAATCAAATCCAGTATGACTTATTTTTTGTATTTACATTAAATGCTTATTTGAAAGAGCATGTATGAAATGTGATACCTCAGTATTACATCAAACATAAATTATTAACAGCAGACAAGATGTTCAGTATGATCTGACCTTAAATTTAAGTACTTAGTGAAAATATAGTTGTCTAGCTTCTTCAAATTTCTGAAATCAGACATTATGCATAAACAAAAGTTTGCTAATACAAAATACTTCTATGAGATATACTGAATGAGGAATCATTAATCCTATTTCTTGCCCGAGAATTGATCATACTACTAGAAAATAGTCTGTTAATAATAACTTTGGGTCTTACAAATATTGTTACTTTATTACAAGGGCAATAGATTTGTATTTGCTTAAACTTTTTGCAGACAACACAGCAAAAATACGTGTAATAAGATAGCATTAGATAATCATCAGGGAAAAGGTTTTAATTTATAAATTCATACATTAGATAAAAGAATGCAATTGCTAAGAGTCAAAACAAAATCAAACAGCCTCTCAAATTTACCCATGACTTTTCTCAGATAATATGCCTATTCTTATGCAATTGTACTGATTCACAAAGTATAATTACTTATCTGAGCACAAATATCAACACATCCCAACAAGCCAGTACTTACTGAACATGATGATATTCAACTCCAATGGCTTATTTTATACACTTGACTGCATAACAGGCTACGTTAAAGTTGTATGATTGTTACTAAAAACTAATGGGGCACACTGCATGTTTTCTGCATTCTATTTCTCCTATAATCCCTAATCTTAGTATAGGTCTTTTAGATGTTCAGGAATTGTAATCCAAAACTATTTGTGCATGTAATTGCCAGCTTCCCATCACCTGTTGTGAATCCAGGTTTCAATTTATTTTATAAACTTTTATAAATTTTATAAACACAAGGAAATATTTTGTATTACAAAAACCAATGGGTACCATAAATCCTTTGCAACTTTTGTGAATTTCCACTCAGTTCATAACATGTGGTGCTACTTTCCCAATATCCTTAATACCACCTGAACGTACAAAAGACTTTTGGCAATGAGAAATTCACTGGAAAACTCATTTTAATTTTACTTAAACATAATTATTTTCTTTGAAATCAATTAAACAGATTTTGGGCAGAGCTTCTTTCTCACTTTATACAAAAAGCAGACAAAAAAATATTTCAGGGCTTTTAAATAATTTTACTTTCTGTTATAATTTCTTACCATAAGCAAAGTTGCCAACTTAAATATAAAGCTTGCATCATGCAAGCTACAGGAGCCAATAATTCACTATATGTAAGATCTATTACAGTGCACTTTCTGATGGAAGCACTTACTAACAGGAACAAATATGTTCCTCACATTGGTGTACACAAGCAAACAGGCAAAGTTCTAACCATTTCAGGAACAGACAATTTAATCCGTATTACATAAATTCACTAAATACAGTTGGTATCACTCAGAATCACTTCTGAGAGTGAAATAGTTCAGCATTACATTTTATATACAGTTATGAAAAGATTATTAAAAACTAGAAGCGCATCCACAAACAGGATTTTCTCACTTTACTTACAATAATTATTAAACCATTCCATAATATTTGTCTTTGAAAGCCTTGTCTTGCTAAGTGGCCCAGCTTAGGACCTTAATTCTAATTTATGATCATCAGATTATAAACTGTGGAACGCTTTTGTTATTGTTGTCTTTATTTTATTTTATTTTATTGGCAAGAGATCTGCAAAGGTTAGAATACTTCCCCATACTATGTTTCACCACAGTTCTGGCTATCTGTAATAAATTCTAAGTTGAGGCTAATAAATTCTAAAGTATTTTAGCCAGTGCAAACCATTGTAGCTTTAGTTTACTTTAACAGCGAACATATCTTTGAAGCTTTCTTCTTTCACAGAAATATCAAAACGTATCTAGAACGTATAGCCTGTACATAAATCTTCCTTGTAATCTCTTCCAGTGATCAACTTCCTTCAAGGAATAAATGCTTTCTCCTGATGTACCAGTTATACAATAGAGTATGAACAGTACTACTGATTTTAGAACCAATTAAGTGAGAACTGGATATGAGCACGCTTCTTCAAGTCACCACAGTCAGAATGCAGATACCAGAAAACAAGAAGAGTAACTGTATTTGCATGCTTTTAAGTGAAACATCAGGCAAGTAATTTGTTCATCATCATCTTCGTAAATTGCAAGATGTTTGTAAAAGTTTATCACAGCGAATTGTGATGGTATGTGACATAAGTAGCTCTTCCATTAAAAAAAGCATTAAAAATCAAAGGCAACCAAGAAGATTTATATTTTTCCTAGAACAGTTCTCAGCTACGTAAAATCTACATAGCAGTGCTTCATTATATGCAAGGACATACAAAATTCTGCTTACAAGCCTTCCAAAATATCAATTTCAAATACTTTCTTATGATGGATTATGTCGAACAGCTGTATTGTGCTTTCAAAATCATCTATTTAATGACGTGAAGACCAGAAATTAAATCACAAGATTAAGTGCAGAAAAAAATGTTCAGACCAAATAAAATGAATTTTATAGAATTAAAATATGCATAGCTAACAGGCAGCTGTGCAAAGTTATTTGCTGAACAAAGCTTAATTTCTTCACAAAACTAAATGATTAACATTTTCTCAATCAGTATTAGCTTTGGGTTATTTGGAAACATTATAGGGAATGTTCTTCTGTGGACACTTGGCCTAATAACAAGATACAATTGATTCCATAAATTTAAAGGAATATCAGTGATACAACAGAAGTATCTGAAAACCCAAAATACTATTTCTAAAAAGTAAATTTAAAGTTATGTGTCCCATGTCCCAAAACAAATCAAATTCTGATCTTTTCCTAAAAAGCCAGGTAATTTTACAGCTGCTGCTGCACAATATGGAAACTGCTACATTTCTTCTGAAGCTTCATTGGCACCAGTCTAAGCCACAACTAGTGAACAATATAAATCTGTGACAAGAAGAAGGCTGTGTATAGCACATGTTGTAAAATCTTTCTAAAAGAACAATTCACAGAAACAAGCTACCCATCAGAAAGTCTGTTAACAGTTTTATTATTTTGTTTGTTAAATACCATGGGACAGGGCTGTCAAGATGATTATTTTTTTTCTTCCACAACCACCTCACAAGGGTAAGAAATTCTGCCATGATATCAGCAAAGTAAGGTGAAGGGAAAAAAATGTATACACTAAGAGGAACATTTCCCCACAGAATGCCTCACCATTTTCCTGAACAAGCGAATTAGCATTCTAATAATCATTCTTTCCAAGAGGCAAGAATAACAGATAAAATTTGAAAAGGATTATTAAAATAACATTTACAAGACTTTGAACAATTTTAACTCTTATTAAAACCACAAAAAGAAAGAACAATTCTTTATTTATGAGTTTTCATAAAGGACTGAATGTGCAACTGACACCTGCTATTAATGAATTAATATACAATTTTGTCCAGCAGCCGAACAGTTTGTCTTTTTATCGTGTTGTCTAACCGTGCAAGATCATTAGAGGCAAAGCCTGTATGATGCTGTACACAAAAATGGTCACTTTGGCCATACTACCAATGAAGTGGTAGGGGTTTTTTTCTGGCCAAGAAAAAAAAGGAAGCAGCATTCTGCATGCTTCTCTCTCTCTCTCTCTTCTCTCTCTCCCTTTCTACAAGATGAATTTCCCTAAAAAGAATCCAATGAAAATGGCTGCAATTACAACAAGGAGTGAAGGAAGAGGGTTGGAGCCATTATCTCGGAGGGCCAAGCCTGATGGTCCAGGTTTATCTGAGTGTGCCACCTTTCTCAGCCTCAAGCCTTCATCCTGAAAATACATGGAGGAAATTAATCAACAGAGGGAAAAATCACGAGATCACATCAGGCCTGAATATAACCAGGATGCATTTCACAGAAGTATTTCAATGCTATCATAGACTTTATTTATTCATGCATTCTGCCTTTAAAGAAAGACACTTAACATACAGGGGGCATAAAATATTAATCCTAAATAGAAAATAGGACCTAAGAAATTTTTCCATCTATACGATTACTACGATAATATGATTAAACATTTAAAATAATTGAGAACAGTGATTTGCTGGAAACATTACTACTTATTTCAGCTTTAGGATTACAAATGGTGGCAACATAGAAACTTCTAGACATTTAAGAACACCAATCCTGTTTTATAGAAAGTTCAAGAAGTGAAACCTAAATTCATTTGTAAGTCAGAGACTACTAAACTACTAAAATAACCTGATTCACATTTAAAACACATTTTTATCTCTCTTGATTAAAGGAAGCACAGCCTAATATCTTTAAATATTAGGTGTGTGTATGTGATTAATTTATCATTTTAGTAAATCTAGCTACCTTAATTCTTAAAACAGGTATTTTACCATCATTTACTGGATTAGTATTCTATCCTTCCAGCGTAGAAAAACTATTATAAACAGCTCAGTATAAGCAATTTTTAAAACTATATTCCATGAATAAATCTGTAAGGTTCAATTTTACTGTTGAACTTATTATATATCTGCAAACTTACTCTCAGATGTCTATTGTCCTCTGATAGTTTCACAACATCTGCCTGAAGTCTTTTGCATTCTTCCACTAGCTTCCTTGTTTCAGTGTCATTAAGTGAAACACTATGTGATTTTGGCAACGGACCATCTTGTTTTGTTGTGTTCAGTATTGGAGCAGATTTATTTGTTTCTATTTCATTCTGGAAACATTAAAAAAAACAGATTCAAAATAGGTATTTCAATGTTAATGACATTTATTACTTTAAAAAAATGCAGGTAATTTCCAAGACAATAAATATGAAAGGGGTTCAAGAAGCAGAATTTAGTTTTGAAAGAAGTATTTTTAAGTGACTAATAAAAATAAGCTGGCACGATAGACGTATAGATTTACGCTGCATCTCATTCTAAGATAAGTCTCTAAAGAATTAATATATTTATCTCCAAGGATAAAATGGATAGAAACTTCTCAGTTGACAACATTCCTGAAGAGATTAGGAGACCATGAATGTTTCAAAGCTTCCACACTCTTTCTATTATTTTCTAACTACACTTCACCAACTGAAATTTAAAGCTAGTCATAGTCAACATTGACATTTGGACAAATGTAGCTCTGAAAACTGGAAAAGAGAGACAGAAGGGGGATATTTATAAATTACATATCATTTAAATAAAAGCATCAGTGGCATGGTTTAAACGTACACAGAAAGTGCCATATACATACAAAGAAGCCAATCTGCAACACCAATCAAGAAATTATTTTAAGCAGATTTTTGTCACAATAGATGCAGTATAAACAATGTTTGCATTTTTCTAACAGCAGTTACCAATTCCTACTGAAGGAACATGGACAGAGTTATTTCTCTTCCCCACTGTTCCACCCCTATTGTGGTAGTCCCTAAGCCTTATGAGCAGACACAGACATGCTGCAGTGGGGAGGAGAAAATCCGATCATGATATATAACATGCACTATTCCTTTGATTTAATCAATATTCTTGACATGCCTGTTTTTTAAGTAACAATAGCAAATCTACCAAACTATGCTTAGTAAAATACATAGTTTGTAAATGAATAAAAGTATCTGTTCTCATTAACACCATGCCATGGCTTGGTTTTACGCATGAACCAAGCTGACTACCAGATTCAAATGATCATACCTTACTTAATAATCTTTTGTTGTATTCTGCTCCTTCATGCTAGATGACAGAACAAATTGAAAAATCTTCTATTAACTACAACTTCTTGATTCAGCAAGAAAGAAATAATGCTTAATATCATAGTTCCCAAATGGGGCACCATAGTGAACTCATAGGGACACTGCAAGGTATTTTAGATTTCTGAGGGAAACCCTATAATACTTGACACATCTGTCAGACATTGCACAAACAGCTAGCCTAGGAGCACAGTGAAAAAATTACCGAGACAAAGGGCACCATGAACTAAGGGAACCTCTGAATTAATGGATTTGGAATAAACTATGATAATTTTAAATCCTGCCATCTCCAAAGCAACTGTGAACTACTTCCTACTTTGAGTAAAGTGTTAACTGAAGAGTTCTGAGTTTATTTAATTTCACCACAAAACAAAGAGCAAAGGGGTTGTATGAACTTGTATAAACCTTGTTCCTATCACTGTTTATTTACCAGATAAGTATCATCCAAACTAGTCCAACACCATTTGGCTTGATTCCAGTTGCTGAAGACGGCTTGTAGAAAGGATCCCCACTGGTTCTACCTTAATTCTTAATTATCAATTTTGCCTCTTCCAAGTGATGTATTTCATTTTCTTTCCTTCCTATGCATCTCAATCCTAGAAATTTGCAGCAGTCCAAATTTCACAGGAATAAAAATGATGCAAATTTTGAACAAAAATGTATACAATAGAAAATAAGCTTAATAATGTAGCATGGTTTTCATTTTGACTGAATTGAACATCCTTCACTTTGAGCCTCTTTTGATATTTTTCTTAGCTAGCTGCAATGAACCATTTTAGAACTAGAAAAATCTTGAAGCTTTCAGCTCCCTCAAACAAACCTGATCCATCTTGTGTTTGACCTCACTGCCTGGTTCCATCATGTCAATCTTCTGTCTATTATTTGCAGGCTCCTGAAGAAAGTTTCTGTTGGCTGGAGTTATGTATACAGATCTTGATGAAGATAAAACCTGAGATGGCAGGTAAGACATACCCTCAGCACTCAGGAGATCTCTCACTGCAAGACTTAAAGGAATGACTAAACCAACGGCTAAAGGATTAGGGCCTGGAACCCCATTCTGCTACTTAGAAAAACATAAATGTTATGTACAAGCAGTTAAGCAATAGCTTAAAAAGCACTGGAACAAACAAAAATAAAAGTTGTCTTTAGACACTTGAGTTTTATAGACTAAAACTAAAATCTTAAATGCATTTTTGCAGGATTAAGCCCTAGAAGATAATATGATTTAGTCATAATGCATACTACCAGTATAGACAGAACTAGAAATTCAATCCAGGTCAATTTTTTATAATTTTGGAGCAAGAAACAGTTGTTTCCAAATGTACAAATAACTTAAAGTAGGCTGCCACAAACTTAAATAGCAAAGGCAGCAAACTCCGTTCTGGCTATTTGCAGCTCTAAGGATCTTGCACAAGGATTAATTTTTATGATTATAAACATAAGCACCCTAATTTAGGTTGATTTTTATTTTTAAGAAGCCTCTTTTTTGCTTGAACTGCTTTTTCTCTGAATGTGGCATCGCATAGTCTGATGTGTTACTTATCAAACTGAATGAACATTCAGTATACACATAAACAACTAATTTATCTGGTATGGTAAATATCACAGCTATGAAACCTTTCTGCTTGAATATTTTGCTTTACACCAAAATTAAATCTATGAACTATATCAGAATTGTCATTGTTCCACATCAAAAATACACTAAGTCTAATTACACTTCAGGAGTGAGACATTATGCCATAGCTATTAACAACATGCATTCCACCAAATATTGAGACTTTTTTCACAAAAGCTAGCATATATATTATGTGAATGTTAATCTTCACATAACTATAATCAAAATAAAATACAGGTAGTCCTGGGTTAACAACAGTAATTGGATCCAAAATTTCCATCATTAAACAATGCAGTTATAAAGCCCAACATCATGTATTTGCATCGCTTAGTGAGGGCGACTGTGGCAGTCTCCATTACCATCATTAAATGAGGATCGTGGCTCATTAACCTGTGACTTCCTGCTGACTTCCAGAAGAAAAATAAACGGGGACGCTGGCTGGAAGTCATGAGGCCCAAGACAGCTTGCAAACAGTCTGGAAGGCAGGTAAGTGGCTGCTGCAAATCAGTACAAACGCAATTGGGCAGGAGGGTGCACAAGCAGCTGCAGCAGCCCAGCACAATGACATCCAGATTGGGAGTGGCTGCTGCCAAGGGAGGCGGGACATGCAAGGACTCCTTGAAGAGCAGTTATAAGTACCGCTCATGCAACACTCTTATAATTGAATGGTCACTGAACAAGTGGCTGTTATCTAAAGATTATACCATGTATACCATGTTTTACTTGACATACTGGCATATTCTTAAAAATTTTCAACTCTCAAGAAACTATTATAAAATATATTATTAAATTTTACTTGGAAATATTTTCTTCTTGTATTCTGTACAAAACTTTACTTGAGATAAAAATGTGAACACATTTGGAAAACACTGAACTGCACACTAGGAGGAATCTGAAAGTGGCCTTTATTTCTATAAAAGTAGTCCTCGACTTATGATCACAATTGGGACCAGAAGTTCCTTTGCTAAGCAATATTGTTGTTAATTGAGTCATGCCCAATTTTATGAACTCTTTGCCATGGTAGTTAAGCAAATCACCGTAGTGGTTAAGCAAATCCTACTTCCTCCGTTGTCTTGGCTTGTCAGAAGCTCCCTGGGAAGGTCCAAATGGCAAACCCACGACTCCAGAAAGCTTCAACTATCATAAATACATGCCAGTTGCTAATTGTGATCATGAGACCAAGAAATGCTGCAATGGTTGTAAGTGCAAGATATAAATCGCCTTTTTCAGCACCACCATAACTTTGAGAATTTGTTAAATGAATAACCATACGCTGAGGGCTATCTGAATGGCAGTATGCCTTAATCAGTAAGATATAATATATAGAGAAGTCCCATCAGGGGGAAAAAAATGAAGTTTACATTACTCCCATTTTCTTGTTACAGGTAGTCCTCAACATACAACTGTAATGGAGCTTGTCCATTATGGTTGTATATTGTAACGGTGTAAATCTTTGTAAATTTACCTTCTTTTTTGTAGCATTAAGCAAATGCTGCAGTCGTTAAGCGAACCCATTGCTAAGCAGCCGGTCAGAAGTTCAGGTCTACTTGTATTTGTAACTAGAGTAAATTAGCTATTCAAGTCACTTATTCTTCAGCTCTTTAGCATTAGCTAAATGTAAAGGAACTTTAGAGCTCTTCTAATCCATCCCCCACCCATAACATCCTAGACTTTCCCAGACCAATGGCCATCCAATCTTTGCTTGAAAACCTCCAGTGATGGAGCACTCCAGGAGCCTGGCTCTTCTACTGTTTAATATTTTTCAAGATAGGGAAATTTCTCCTTATTTCAAATTTAAATCTCCTTAATTATGTCTTCTCGCCCACTTTCTATAAAGCAATATTTTGACATTAAACTGAGAGAACTGCTTCACAAGTATGAGCGTGCCTATTTTGTAGCTTTCCTTATAGGACAGACATGTCAAACTCGCGACGTCATATGACATCGTGCAACATATCGGGACGGTTTTGCCATTGCTGGGTGGGCGCGGCTTCTGGATGATGCATCTGGCCCGTGGGCCGGCAGTTTGACACCCCTGTTATAGGATGAAGCTTAATAATAAAGAAACTGCTTATAAATAGAACAAACTAGTAAAAATAATGTTAAAAAATTTAAAATGTAAACTTCCATTTAGGGTAAACAACGTGTCTAAAATTTCCTGGATATTTTAAAACAGAAGTATACAGTCTGAGGCCACTACTGTGGCATACAGTCCCCAAATACCTTGAGCATAATCCTACTACTCCAAAAATTGTTAATAACAAGCAGTAGTAGTAGTAGTAGTAGTAGTAGTAGTAGTAGTAGTAGAATATTAATGTTTAAACTTGTATGCCACCTGACTGAACGATTCTGATCAGCTCACACAAAGTAAAATCAATAAAAGGGAATTATCTGCCTGTGAACTGATGGGAGGTTTGACAATGATTCTGTAGCCTTTTCCAACCTCATGAGCATCAGCAAATCCTTTTTCTGAAATCAAGTTTTCTTTTGATTGATACACAGTTCACTTCCAGAAAACCTGTGCTATGAAGATACCAGTGTGGCAAATAACACATGTATGTTTTTTTAAATAGGGGAGGATCACATCTCATTGATATCTCCCTGACCTAATTTACCCAATTGACATAGGACATCATATACTTTTCCCATCGAAGATTCTGAATGGCAGATGAATGTGCTAATAAGCAGGATATAACATTGGATGTTATTAGTTTCACCAAAATCTTTTTCTTTATTATAGGAATTAGATGCTCTGATCATGCTATAGGACACAGTAGTTCAGAATTACAGATAGTTATAAAGGTAGTTCAGAATTACAGATAGTTATAAAGGTAGTTCAGAATTGCTGATAGTTCACAAACTTCCTTTCACTACCTGAGTGTAAATTTCAAGAACCTTCATTCTTTCAAGAAGACTAAATGAAAACCAATTTCTTTTATCCACTTCCAGGAGTTATTTCTTCTTCTGCATATCCATTTCTCTTATTTGCTTTTGAAATGTATAAATTATAAACTTTCACTTAGTACACAGGCTATATATGGCTTTATTGATTCCAAGCCAATTTTTACTCTAACTAAATTCACAACACATGTTAATATAAAAGTAGCTTGCTTAAAAGTTTACAAAAGTACAGTGTTTCTACATTAGAAAGAAGACTGGAAAGCTTTAGAGGTTTTATTAAAGCACTAATTATAATCTCTATATTTAACAATATGCAAAAGGTGTAGGCAGAACATAAACGTTTGAATATTTTTTACTTACCAGCTTATCATTTTCATTAGGCATTTCAAATACACATCTCAATTTGGAGTCCATTAATTCCTCAGATTTTGCATCCTTCCACTATGACAACAATGAAATACATTATGTTACTAGATGTCATCAAATACATTTTCATAATGTATAAACTCTGCTTCGTATACTGATTTTCAAGAACTAGCATGGCTTAACAGGCAATTGATCTTTAAGTAGGAAATATAGACTTAAATCCTTGTGATTTGAAATGAATCATTTTTCATCAAGCATCAATATTTTTCTAGTTTTGAATAGTCATAGCTTTCTTTTACATTTGAACCAAAAAGCTACAAATATTAGAGTATGGGTAAGCTATTTCTGAAGCCATGGTTTGAAATCTAGTCAGGTATGTAACAATCTCCTAATTCAGTTGTAAAATGAACCTACACTGAATGAAACCAATAAAGATGTCTATGTTCATGTTATACTGAGAAAAGGAAAGGTTACAAGTGCAGAAATATATATTTGATTATATGTGCTACCACACAACTTTTTCAACTGCCCAAACAAGTTATTTCTAAAACAATGGACAATATATACTTATGAATATTTTTATTAGGGAAAAAAATTGACCAGCACATTCTCAGCAAGGGGGAGTCTGCAAATCAGAAAGAAAATACAAATTGTTGCAATTCTTATTTTTCTATAGAGTAGAACTGATCAGCCATTTTGTAGTGTTCCTCATGATACTGTCTCAAATATCCAGATATGTTAATAGGTTCAAAATTGCTGAAGCTCCTCAGACAATATACTGAAAACACTAAAGCTGCTGTGAGAAAGATTACCATTTCCCCCCCAAGCAGAAGCCATCTCAGTTCCACTACTTTGTCTTTAAATTAAGTGAACATTTGAAATCTTTCTCAGATACTGATGCTGGGTTTTTTAAACAGATTCAGAGAAGTTGGAAAAGCTTTGAGATATATGAGACGAAAGAAAATCCAAGAAAGCTTCAAAAAGCCTGAGAAGGAATTCATATCTGTCCATTTACTAAAAACTGAAATTGTAGATATTTACGTACCACTGCTTCCATATCTGTAATGTTTGTAGGGGCAAAGATCGTCTGTACCATAAACTTATGTTTACTCTTCTCATTTGGATCATAATCAAAAGGCTGTAACATAACTGCATAACAGACAAAGTTTGTATTATATAAAAGTTTGCAAACTTTTTCTTATGAACTTTTAATTTTATTGTAAATTCAGAAAATATAGTGTGTACTTTAATGTATTTCAATAATGAAATTCTTTTGTTACATATCAGCTGATCCTTATTTTCTCGTAATTACATAGCTACACTTTATAATTTGAAAAATAATGTTATTTCAAATATTTGCCCTCTTTAATTTAATAATTACTAATCTCAAACAAAAATAAATTCAGAGCAGACAAATAAACTGGTTCCATTGAGAAATAGGGATTTTTTTTGTTATATATTATATTCAATGTTCTGAAATACATTAAAGATGATCAGTAGCTCTCAAATCAGAGTCCAAAAATGCTGTATTTTTTTCTGTTGAGGATAGAATGTATTAATCATTCTGCAAGTATGGATAATGGAGAAAAGAATCTTATTACATAAATAGAACGCAGCACATATTACACTGAATACAGCTTTTTAGTACACATTTTATGAAGGGCCTGAGTTGTACTGCTTCTCAACCAATTTATTTACTTAATATAACAATGTGCACTTATTCTTCTCATTAACAATTAGAAAGCCAAGTAAAGATAAAACAAAATACTCTTCCTCCCAAAAGGCCAGGTAGCGTCAATAGATAAAAACAGAGCTCATAGAAACACTTGCCTACACAGAATACATTTTGCCCCACAGAAAGTATAATGCCTGGTTCAGATGCAACAATTAAAAAACAATCCAAAATGTTTATTTTAGCTTATCTGAAAGCTTCTATGATAAACCAAAGTTTATTACTTGATATTAGTTCATATACCACACTGAGCCAAAACTGAATAAATCATATTATAATTTTTATCTTACAATTATCTTACAATTAAATAAGGACCAACTGAGCTTTCCAATACCAAAAAAAACTGCATAATGAAATAATTATTAGATGAATTTACCTAGCAAGGCAGTAGCCATTTATGCCCTCAATATTACTAGCACTTTCCTCTAAGAAAAAATTCAGTGGCTAGTAAACTAGTTTAAATGCTAAAGTTTTAATTCCTACTCATGAGAAGGGAAGAACAGTTAAAGAATAGGTACTGCTACATGAGGTCTCTGTATAACATTATTTAATGCAGGGTATATGCTGCATATATATTAAGGAATCTGTAAAGAAAGAAGAACATTGTTTTAAAGTTGGAGGAAGAAACATCAATAACCTGATCACCGAAAATGCAAAGGATCAGCAAGCCCTAGTACTAAAAGTCAAAGAGCACAGTGAAAAAATGGAACTAAAATTAAATAGAAAGACGACCAAACTAACGACATGTACAACAACCACTCCTAGAATTGACATTGAAGATACTGAGGTGGGGGAAAGCTTTTGCCTTTTAGGGTCACCCATCAACAGTAAAGGAACAAGCAACAAAAACAAGGAACAAATAAGCCTCAGACTAGCACTTAGTAGAGCAGCCATGAAGGTCTTGGAAAAGATATTCAAATGTTTTGATATGTCTCTGCCTACAAAAATCAGAATCATGCAAGCCTATGAAACTGAATGGAAATGAAGGTTGGACTTTTAAGAAGGGTAGCAACAGTAGTGATGCCTTTGAACTTTGGTATTGGAGAAGATTCCTGAAAATACCATGAACACCAAGAAAACAAACACATCATTGAAAAATCAACCCAGGTAATATTTTATACCTTCTCTCTCATCACAATCAAATTTAAAATATGGACTACAAATGCAAAACTATGAGAATAAATCTCAATATGCTCCCTCACCTAGGACAATTACTCCCTTATTACTTACTCCCACACACTTTACACTGAAGATACAATTTTGCCATTTATTTACCTGCAAAAAAATTTCCATCTCTCCAGCCTATTAAATATGGGACAGCTCCAGTCAGCAAAATTCATTTGAACCTATAACATCATCCTGTTATAACTACCCTTTATGTAGAAGAGTTTTAATACATTGAACATGAAATATTTGTTTTGATTAAGTTGTATGTATTTTGCCTATCTAATTAGACATTTATAGAATTAGATTTTCTCTGCCTAGAACTGACCTTACCAGATTGACAGATTTCCCCTGAAGTCTGCCTTCGGTAGCTACAAAAATTGTGGATAGGGTAGAGAAAACTGCTTAGTACATTTACTCATAATTATCATGCTTACATTAACCTAGTTACCTTACACATTTCAACAAAAATAGACAAAGATATATGTTTTATTTTTGTCAATGACAAGTTCAAGGACATCTGTCATAATTTATAATTAATTAATTATTTAATTAATATATAATTGATATTTCTGTTTTATTTTATGATTTATATTAAAATACTGAACAAAAAGATCTTCTCCACCTTAAACTAAAATACATTGTCAATGGGAGGAAGCATGTAATGTACTACAAAAACAAAATGTGACATATTTATTAACTAATGCTTATATTATGATATGTCTTCATTATTCTCTAAAGGCAAAACTATTTTAACAACAACTAAAATATTAAGGCAGCTATAATAGAAGAGCATTAAATTACAGTACACTAGCCAGAATAACTATTCTCCTAAATCAAGGATTAAGAAAATGCTAGTGGCACCACCTTGTGGATCAGTAGAGAACAGGTTGATAAAGCACTAGCAGGATTAGAATGTACTTGTCTGACAGGAAGACAATTCTTAATTTAAACTCATCTCTCCCCAAAGGAACATAAGATAAAGAAATTATAAATTCAATCACAAGTTTTGGCAATGCACAGCTTCTCTTTCTTGTGATCCTAAAGGCTGCCAATTCCAGCTCAAACTGGTGGATAGCCTTTGCCTTTTAGGGTCAAACATCAACAGTAAAGGATGAAAATTCCTATTCCACATAAATGTATTCTTTATTTGTTGGCATATGTGCATCTGCATGTATACTTGCCACAAACACTGTAGATGACTGCCAAATCTCTCTCTCACACACACACACACATATAAACACACTGATTTAATAACTATTTTATAAAAAAATTATTAATTCCTGTAAAATTATAATTGTCTGTAAAGATGCTTCTTTTATGAAATCAATTAACCCCTATCTGCTTATACCAACCATTCTCTCAGTCAACTATAGCAGGGCTTTTCAACCTTTTCACTGATTGTACCACTTTTAGGATATGGCAATATTTGAGTACCATCTAGCAAGGTGTCAAAAACTTGATGACCCCCCCCCCCAAAAAAAACCCTGTTCAAAGTTGCAATTGCACTGAAATGACTTATGACCATTTTTCACACTTATGACCATTGCAGCATGCCCAGGGTCATGCGATTTATATTTGGATGCTTGGCAACTGATTCATATTTATGATGGTCTCACTGTCCCAGGGTCATGTGATCCCTTTTTGCAACCTTTTGACAAGCAAAGTCAATGGCAGGGCTACTAGTGGCCAAGTGCTAAGGTGGGACTTCCTTCCCTCCCTCCCTCCTTCCCTGCCTCCCTCTTTCTCGTTCTCATCTCTTTCTGAAGGAAGAATTTGAACCTCCCCCCATATTTTCCCTCTTCCATATATTTATCAAACAAGGAAAAGCCTCCAGAGACAGAAAAGACAAGCTGCTGAGAGAACTAGCTAAAAAAGGCGCATTCCGCTTTAAGAATTAGCTACCAGCTAGAAATGAAAGTTAAGGAGCTGGCAGCCGGCACTTAAGGAAGAAAAAAAAATGTAGTAAGTACTGGCTGCCAGCTAAGGCAGCCTCCCCAAATGGCTCCATTCATAAGTAAAGGAATGCTACAGGCAAATTCATTCAGGAGAAAAATACTTCAAAATCCCTTGCAGCAAAACTTACAGCTAACAATAGCAGAGCAATAGACTCTAACACGAGACATCAGCTATCAGCCAAATAGAAATTGCCAAACACTCCTTAAGAACACAAAGCCCACATTGCACAGATCCCAGAACTTCAAAGTCACAAAAGCACAAAAGAATCCTTCCACTCTCCTGGTTTGTTGTTCAGCTGAAACAGCACTTCGCTTCTGCCATTAAACGTCTCCTCTCGAGCAGCTGGGGCAGTAGCAGCCCCTGGGAGGCTAATACCTCTTAAAGGTATTAGCCTCCCAGCTGGAAAGCAAGCCCCGGGCTTTTCCTTCCATCGCTCCTCCTTCCTGCTCTCTAGCTTCCTCTTTCTCATTGCCAACTCCCTCCCTCCTGCCCTCCATGCTCACCTCCAGCCGATGCTGCCTTTCTTCATTCCTCTTGGAGGGCAACCCCTCCCCCACTGCGTTTCTTGCCTGTTTGTTGCTGCCAGCACAGATGGCTGCCACAGAAGATGTAGATCGGCTCATGGCCGGCCTGCTTGATCTCCTCTCCTCTCCCCCCACCCTCCCCCTTCTTTCCTTTCGGTGCAACTAGAGCTGACTTTGCCTCCTCCCAAGGCTGCTGCTTTTTCTCTCTCTCCCTCTCCTGTTCAAACTGCCTCCTTTTATAGCCTCTCCTGTCTCTGCCCCCTCCTCCTCCTTTCTCTTCCGGGTAAGCTGGAAGTGAGCCTTGGGCCTTTGCCTCACCCAAGCCACTCTGCAGCTCCGGAGGACTCTCTCACAGTAAGTCTTCACTGGCTCGTTCCCTCCCCCACTACACTTGGCTGGGCAGGGCCACGTACCACCTGCCATGTGCTAATGTGCCACAGGTGGTACACGTACCACTGGTTGAAAAGCCCTGAACTATAGTATTCTCAGCACAGATTTTCCTTTCTTCTTTCCTCCAGAGGAAAGGGGGGGGGGGGGAAACGGATAGATAGGAAGATAAGAGAAAGAGGCAGCTGTACTAAAAAGGAGAAACAAGAAGTAGGAAAAAAATGGATATAGATAAGGGGAAAGAGGCATCAAGGGAAGGAGATACTTATTTAGGATAAATGTACCAGACAAGCAGTTCCTCTCAACACTCAATCCAATGACTTCTATTTTTCTTCGTGAATCTAAAATGGTGCTTCTGATTCATAACGTATTATTTTGGGGGGAAAGTCATTATATCAAGTAAATATGATAAAAAGTAGAGAAGATATCCATATCCAATATCCCAGTTAACCCTCCCAACAAAAATTCAGGATTATTTTCTTAATCAAACTATTAGGCAGAATATAAATAGTATAAATGTCAACAAATAATAATGTGGTTAGTTTTAGCTGATATTTTTAAAGGATTCAATTAATAAGTATATTGTTTATTAGCTTTTAATTATGCACTTCCTATTCAATACCTTCTATGATTGAAAAAAGCCCCCCAAAAATGAACAAAATGTATTTAATATTTTTACCGGATACAGTTACTGCAGTTCCTGGGTCAATAATTCCACTATTTGGCCGCACACAGTATCGACGAGGTGCTGTAGTTTTTACTTTAAAGCATATTTTTCTGTCTGATGGGTTTCGTAGTTTAAGATTCGTGGTGACTACATCTGTAAAAGGACCTGTAAAAAGTTTCAAGGATTATTTTTAGGAATTAATTCTTAAACATTTAACAAAATGAAAAATCAACACACTATTCTTAGAAGATAGTTAGTATGGTTTTTTTAAGTGTTTCAATTTGCTTTTCAGTGCATGTGCTATCATTTCTACCTGTGTTCACAAAAAAAGAACTTCTTTCTTAGCAGTTCTTTCGTGTAAATTCTATCAATCACTCTACTGAAGAACTAAGAGTCCACCCAAATAGAATTAATATGTATGACAAAATTTTCTTATTATATTTACCATATAATAATTTTAAATACATTAAGAATTGCAATCATATTGTTGACAGTATTGCTATAACTGTGCAATAAAGAATGAGAGTTAATTGGGACCAAAGTAGTATTTGCCACTGTGGTAACAATCTTCCCTTAGTTCAAAATGGAAAAGGAAAGCAAATAATGGGAGAAAGAGAGAGCTACCTAGTACAAAATTTTATTTTAATTGCTAAATTCAAGGTTCTGAGAAGAAGCTACACGCTAAGACTCCTAGAAACGCTCATTGATGATGTTCATATTGCTCCTATGCCTCAATAAACTCTACTGGAGACTGGAAGCTCTGCCCTTTACACTTGGAAAAGCTCTTGACTAATGTGAAAAGGCTAATAACATATTCAAACTAGGCTATTCCTGAGTATTAGCAGAAGTATGGTTTTGGAGAACTATTTCTTCCCATCAAGAACAAAAAGAGGTTATGCAAATGATCTTCCATTTGCCTAACTAATATGTCAAGTTGCTGAAGCCATGGAAAAGATTATTAAGAATCTTCACCAATTCTGTTTTCTAACCTTTTAGTCTATGAATCTTCTCTTGGATTTTAATTGAAAAAGAATCATTATCCAAAAGTGGTGAAAGAATTTGGCATCTAATTTTATTTTTAGAAAGTTATCTTTCCAAATAAACTCATATATTTTTCTTATCAAACAGTGCAACTCTGACCAGCAGATCAGAAAACAACTAAAATAAAACAACAATAAAATAATAACTCTAATCTTATATCTATCAACATATTTAATATAGGTAGTCCTTGTTTAAAGTTCACTCATTTGGAAGTCATCAAAGTTATGATGGCAGTTAAAGAAAGGAACCTATGATTGGTCCTCATAGTTACAGCCATCACATCATCCCCATATCATTGCGATTGGGGAAACCCGAATTTTAGTCCTTCTTTAGGCATGAATGACTTTAGACCAATCACAGTCTCTCAGCCTTAGGGAGACTGTACCAGTAAAACAATTTCCATGTAGTCACCAAGAGGCAAGATTAACTTAAAAGACCATGACAATAACAATAACACACACACACATCATGCAAACTGTTAAATTTTGTTTTTAACACTACTAGCCAAACTGTTCACGCACATGCTCAGTTGGACCGTAACACTAAATTATACTATAGCAGTCAAGAAATATACAATTTTCATCCTGTCTGCAACATTCTTTTTTTAGGGTTAGGATTAGGATTAAGCTTCCTTTTTAGGGAAGACTGTTGAGGAAGTGATCAGCTTGCAGGTACAGGGCACCCTTCAGGATATGGATTATTTTATCCGTTTCAGTTTCAGACCAGATGTAGCACTGAAACAGCACAGATCATACCTATAGATGATCCATGGTAGGACTGCAATGGGGTTTTCATTCTGGCCCTTCTTGATCTCTCAGTGTCTTTTGATACCATCAATCACGTTATCCTTCTGGATTGTTACAGGAATGACAGCACTGTGTTGCAGTGGTTCTCTTTCCTCCAAAGTGGTTCAGGTTGATGTTAGCAGGAAAGGTTTAGTTCTACATTCCTGCTTTACATGTTTCCTCAGAGTTGTACTCTCTCTGTGCCCCTATTTAACATCTATATGAAGCCACATAGACATTTGTTAGCACAGTGTTAAGTATTATCAATATACTAATAATATGTAATTTTATATCTTTATCCCTGTCCAATCAAATTAAGTTTTTTCCAACACCTGAAGGCTGTGGATGTCTGGATGTAGAAGAACAAGTTCTGCTCAACCCAAGGAAAACGGAGTGGCTGTGGATTTTAATGCCATGTTCCCTTGCTCTCCCCCCCCCTTTAAATTTGAAGACTTTCCATCTTTAGATCTGCCATTTCCCAAGACAGAACTTGATCACAATTTTAGGTTCCTCTTGCACTCACAATTCCTGCTTAGAGCAGGTAGCAGCCAGGAGCAAGAGTTCCTTTGCACAATTTCATCTTGTATATCAATTGCGTCCATTCCTAGATTGGGAGGCCTTGTTCAGTCACTTATGCCTTGATTATATCTTGGACTACTGCAACATGCTCTACATAGCATTTCCCTTGAACATCATCTGGAAACTACTGTCCAGAATGTACCATGGGATGGTATAGAACATTACGCCAATTTAACATCACTACTTCATGAGCTGCACTGGCTTGTCATAGATTTCTACTGCAATTCAAGGTACTGGTTATCACTTATAAAAACCGTTCATAGCATTGAGCTACTTTATTTGTAGAACCATCTATCTCCAGCTATTTCTGCTATCCTACAAGATCAGATAGAGCAGACAAGTTTTAGATCATCTCCATGAAACTGCCTTCTGATAAGGCCCAATAAGCATGCCTTCTGTCATGGCATATGCCCTTTAGAATAACGGATCAGCCAAGATACAGATGACCCTGACTCTGCTGTCCTTCCATAAAACTTTAAAAACAAAACTTTCCCCCAAGCACTGGATTAGGATGTTGGGTAAGCCTAATCGGAAACCTAGATCAAGATTTTGTTTTTTTCCTGTTTGGGGCTTTGTTTATATTGTTTTGCTGTGCTTCTTTTACATTTATGGTATATCTTGTTTTGTTTTTAATCCTAAATTAGCTGTTCAGAGTTTAATTTTATGAATTGGGTGGCCATGCACATTGTTTAAATAATAAATCTAACAAATAAATATTCAATGGGTGCATAGTACCAAACATAATGAGCAGAGAGTAGACTATAGAAATATGAGATGATAAAGTTTACCAATTTCTGCACTAAAAGCTAAATAGAGATGGACCACCAGGGAACTCTCTCGCTCTCTCTTTTAGGCATACATCCTAAAATAGACTTAAACAAATTGCCCAAAACAATCAAAAATCCCTACAAAATCTTGGGTCCACCCATTTCATATCAACACCCTCAACAAATTATATTGTTAACAAACATCAGTATAAGATGGTTCCTGTAGTAGCAATTTCCTCTATTATACAGCTAGTTGTCAACTTATGACAGATTGTTTAACAACCATTGAAAATTATGATGGATCCAGAACAGGTGCTTTAGTTTATGCCATGTAAAGCACTTTGGATCATTGTAAAATGTTGTGCCACCCCACACACATATGCACAATCATGTAACTACATTTTGGGTACTTGGCAACTGGTTCATCTTTACAACCAGTTACAGCACCCCGCAGTCACATGACTGTGATTTAAAAACTTTTTTGCAGGTTTCTGAAAAAAAAATGTTTCTTCAAAATAATCTGTTTGCACTTAAGGTCATGATATTCCCTTAATGACCACAGTGATTCATTTAATGATTGCCACAAAAAATATTGTAAAATCAGTTCCAGTCATGTGGGTGCCCTGATTTACATCCAGAACTTCTTATGATGGGAAATCCTGTCTCAACTGCAGTCGTAAGTCAAGGACTACCTGTGAGGTTTTAAAAACTAGTTAAAATGTTATTTAATGGATGAATCTGGTTAGTTTTAAAACCTACATTTATTCATGTTCACTATCCAACCAACTATTTGGGCATTTATTATGTTAGAAGCTGTACAAAATGTGGAGAGTATTAAAATGCAGAGAGTGTTACGCTGAGCTGATCAAGACTAGTAAGTAGCATGTAAATCATCTTTAATGCTAACAAATACATCAAATTAAGAGCATACTATGCTTTCAGATTTTTAATGTGCTTTTAAACATTAAATAAAATTATCTCAAAATCTGTCACCTTCCCAAGTTATACATAACATAAATTATTTGCTTCAGCCAACTCCACATTCAAGCATTGCCACCTGGAAATAATAGAAGGTGACATTATATCCAATTATACACTTCTATTACAATGTCACTTTCTCTGTAATTTTCTAGTGATTTAATTTTTTTCTGTCGTGCATTTTGTATTCAATATGATCATGGGCTCTTGCTTCCAAATCCTACAATTTAAAATATACAGTATGTTACTGTGCTGACCAGGCAAACCCCATTGACAGAGGCATGATATAGGATAGGAAACTTCTTCAGTCTGTACATTCAATCATACGACCAAAACTCAATCCCAAAGAGGCAGGAAAGCTCACAATGACTACAAAATTTAAGTCTCAAGGGTGAAAGAGAAGAAAAATCTTGCCCAGGTTTGTTCAACAAGTTCTCCTTTCTTCACAATTGCTGACAAAAACTGTTGTCTGAAGAGAAAACAACAATCAGAAAGAGAGCATCTGATGGACCCAGTTTGGTATACATGTAGTCTTTGACTTAGAACCACTTGTTTAATGATGGTTTGAAATTACAAATGTGCTGAAAAAATGTGAGTTGATCCATTATCAAAGTTATGATGGTCACACCACCTCCATAGCTGCATGATCCCAATTTGGGAACTTGGCAATCAGATCATAATTATTATCATTGCAGCATCTTGTGGTCACATGATCGTAATTTGCAATCTTCCCAGCCAACTTCCAACAAGTAAAGTCAATAAGGAAAGCCAGAAATGCTTAATAACTATGTGATTTGCTTAGGACCACAACTACAGCAAAAATGGTTATAAAATCATGTCTGGTCATGTGATGATTCGCTTAGATTGCACTGCTTAGCAACCGAAATTCCAATCTCAATTGTGACCATAAATTGAAGGTTATCTGTAGTAGTTAAGACTATACGTCCTAATCCTGTCTCAGGCATGAAAACCAGTTGGGTGACTTTGGGCCAGTCTTGTTCTCTCGGTCCAATCC